AACGAAGTTTCTAGATGATTCCACTGCCCAGGTTGTCTTTGTAAATGATTGTGATGCTATAGAAGCCTTACAGAATTTACAAAGCAGAAACCCGTTTGGACCTGCCCTTGTCAGTTATCGCCTCCGACATGTTTCAACTTCTAATAACACACAGACGTCACATTCTTTGCTGCCCGCGGATGTACTCAAGCCCCCAGCTGCACTTTCTGGAGCAGTACCTTCAAATGGTGAAGGACCTGATCTTGTCGTCATAAAACAGAATCTGGAGGCAATGACATCAATGCTTGAGAAGGCTGGTGATAATATTTCCCCTGAGATGAGGGCCAAGTTGGAAAATGAGGTGAAAGGCTTCTTGAAAAAGGTAAGCTCCATGGTTGGTTCTTCTTCGTCTTAGCTGATAATAAATGTAGTAGTTTCGTAGTTGACGTTTAACTGTGTATCTAATTAATTAGGATTTTTATGTGATGCTAGTGACTGCTGTTGAGAACATTGTTTGGTATTTCCCATGTTTTTATCTTTTTCCTTCACTGTTGATTCTCAGTAGAACTTACTGGGCATTGTTGTTACTGTGTTGTAATGTGGAGTTGTGTACTTGTAACTTTCAACCTAGCACTTTGTTGTAATCGAGACAGAGCACGGCACCACTCTCTGCTCCTCAGATAGCCTTTCCCTTGTTACTGTCCTAATCTGGATGCAAGCTGTTACAACCTTGAAACCTAATTTTTTCTCAATTTGCATGGACAAAGGATATGCAAGTATAAATTAGGAAGAATAGATTTATATCAATTAATCAACCATGTCTGAATTCGGAAGTGAAGTAGTTGGAAGTTATATGAACCGTCTGCTTCATGCAGGCAGGTTAAATCTCATTGAATTCAATGTTTAGAGGATGCATTGATCTTCAGGGCTACAAGTTCGGTTTTCCCAGTCTGTTTAGGTTTTTGTCGGAAAGTTGGTGGTCCTATAAACAGTGAACTTATGGTCAACACAATTTTTTCTTTCTTTCTTAATTGCTATTCTGAGGGCCTCCTAAACCCCATTGTGTTTGAATTGTGAACACTCTTTCAAGGTTTTCTTTCTCAGTAACCAAATTTGATTAGTCTCCTCTAAACTCAAAATTGTGAACTTTCAAGTTTGTAGTATAGTATTACACCTCTTGACACCCGCGATCAGAATATATACAACCGCTCAATTAACATCTCACTATCGTGAACTCAACCACGTCTCTTTGTTAGTTGCTTCCGGTTGTTTTTCCACGAACTGGTCATGGGTATTGCCACTATTATTGATAAGAACAGTTATTTTTCTCCCAATCATGGATGTATAAGACCTCCATTGTTGATTTCCGCACAATTTAATTTCAAAGCAGATGCCACAAAGTTGTTTGAAGTATTAAAGTTGTCCAAACATAGATGGTGGTGCGGTTTAAGCAAGTCATGAATCTTGTTGGAAGTAAGACATCAAATCCAGCGGCGGACCCAGGATTTTGTACAAGCGAGTTTAATCAAAGAACACGGTAGTCGAGTGCAGCGGTAAACACAATTTGTGTATAGCTCTTTTTTGTTCATCAGATCACTTCAAAAGTCATTTATTTTTTGTTAAAAAAAAGGTTGGGAGAAACTTTTAAAAAATAACAAAGAAAATTTCGTCCTTTAATTTATCTATATAAATTAATAAATTTTATTTCAGAAAATTTAGCAATTTTAACCAAAAGTATTTCACCTACTTAAAAATCATATTATAACTCTTAAGAAATTTAACATACAAAATTGTTACAAACAAAAGACACGGGAAAAAAGAGTTACAAACTAAACTAATTTATACAAATTATTAAAGAAAAAGATATTTACACCAAACTAAAATTTTGAGTATAACACAAATTAACAATTCAATATAAACTAAACCAAACTAAATTAAAAGATTATAAGTAATTTCGATAAAGCAGTAGAACAAAAATTCACTTTGTACAAAGGTTTAAAAATTTTTTTTAAGTAAAATGAGGAGTTTAATAAGATCAGTTTTATTGGAGTTAAATAAAGAAAAAAATAATATAGAGAAGTAAGAAAACAAAGAGTCAAAGACAAAATAGGAAACATAAAGCCCTAACAATAGGCAAAATAATATATACGTTTAGCAAAAACTGCATAGTTAGTTTCGCTGCTTTTGTAGAAGTTCGAACTTGCAAACCTAGGCCTTAATTATTTTGAACCCACTTGCCACTGCTCTACAACTTCTGTTAATGTTAAGCAGGTTCAAATATTATAATATTTACTGTTTCATAATTTTCTGATGAAATTCCAAGGTAAAAATAGTTAATTTTTCCAATGAAGCGAGTTCAACTGAACCCCTTCCTACCAGGTGGGTCCGCCCCTGATCAAATCCAGATCAAGTATATATATATATATCCAAGATTACAAATTTGTGACTATAATAACTGGCACTATAAACGATTACTTCCTGGGCAGACTGCAAATTTACGTACAAATAAAGCCAATGTTGTCTGTCTCTATTTTGGCTACTTGCATTTAGGTTGCAGCTTTCAATCAATCTACCGTTCGTTATTAATTTTGTCATGCACGTCAATATGAATTTCCTTTCCTTAGCTTGCTAGGAAAATCATACCATTTAATACTACTCCCTAACGATGATGAAGCAAATAATGACAACTAGAAAGATTATATTCCAAGTCTTGGATTGACACAGATAACCGCAAAAATTATGGTTCCAGAAATTAACTGAAGCTGTAACTAATAGAATTAAGGGAAGATCAAGTTGAGTATGTGAATCTCACACAAGAAATTTAGAAGCCATAAAAAATGAGTTTAGAGAAATAGAGTTGCATTTTAGAAGATTTTCAGTTTTCTTCTGCCTGAATTATGAAATCAATGGCAAGTAGTTACTATTTCATAAGAGGAAAGTTATCCAGATACAAAAACTGCTCGGTCAATTTCATATTTGTATGGCATGCCTTGAATTCGACAATGAAATTCTTGAGCCATATTTATAATGAAATTAGTTTGGTATAGAGCTCAGAGACTTTGATTACTGATATGTGAATTTCTTCTGATACAAATCTTGAAGTTTAAATTGGAAAATTTTCCATTCCAAACTCTTCCCGTTACCTCCCAAGAAAAATTTCGAATTTGAATTCCAAATTGACAGATTAATGTGAGCTTATCCATACGAAAATGTTTTATTTATTTTTTTGAACAGAAATTTGTTATTTGATTAAAAAGAACTAGTTCAAAGTCTTTTACGTTAAGTTCGTGTAATCATAATTCATGGAAGGCGGTGATATAAAGGGCAGAATTCAAGTAATTCGCAATAAAAACAGGATAACATAAACGTCGTCAAAGATTGTGGAAGCAGGAAACATGGAGAAATAGTTGGGGATTAAGGTTAAGGAAAAAGGAGGACATGGAAAATCAGCGGTACAACACAATATGGAAAGTAAGGATATAAAATATACGTAAGTTAGGCATTTTTGCCAAAGATGAACATGGTCCGCGCGCAACAGCAAGGAGAAAGTGTTCTCTTTCAACAAACCTACTTTGATCAATTAGCCAAGATTTTGACGGGATACAGAATCACTTAAGATCTAGTGGTACTTTTGATATTCTATGTGGAGGTATAATTACTTTGGAAACAATTTTCGTCTGTATGCTATATATATGACAGTTTCGGAGAACTATTTCTAAGGAAAATTTTGTATTATTGTGTTTGAATAGTTCTACTCTTTCTAAATTTTTGTTTACTCCCTCGTGTCCTTTTTTTTTTGTTCAGAAAATTATTTAATAGCATTAGTCATACGGAATATTTTACTATATTAACTTTATTTTCTTTAGGTGAGTAATAAATGACTATATACCTTCTTGAATTAGTAAAGGTGAAATTGTAAAAAGTTTATTAATGCCTTTTAGATTTTCTGAAGTGTCAATATTTGGACCTTTTTTTTTGTCTCATACAAAGGACCGGAGGAGTAGTATTTTCTTAGTGTTACCGAAAAGTATCCTCAAAAATTTCCATATCAAGACCTTTTCAACCAAAAAAAACAAATTTAGCTAAAATATTAAGAATTTCGCACGGTGAATTCGAGCTACTGCGAGAGTTTGTGATCCGATTCCGAAAAGAAAGGATGTTGCTACCATCGGTTCTAGATGAATGGGCAGCAGAGGCATTCACGAAGGGTCTAAACCCACTAAGTTCCGATGCCTCCCAAAAACTGAAGGAAAGCTTGCTCGAGTTTCAAGCAACCACATGGGCGGATGTCCATAACCGCTATGAGTATAGAATAAGGATAGAAGACCATCAGCTTGGATCATCGGTATCGACTAAGGGACGGGGTCGAGATAAAACTCAGGACAGGTTTAAGAATGACTTTAATGCAGATCGACAGTCCTCTAGAGGTCGCTTTCTACCGTACGAGAGGACCGATGGGCATAGCAACAAAGGGTTTCAGTCATCGGATAGGTTTGCTCCTGACAGAAGAGTCGATCGTGGCCGGAGCAACATGTCGTTGCAGGAGAAAGAGGTACCGGGGGCACCAGATTCTACATATCCCAGGTTATTAGATAACAACTTTAACATCAGCCAGGTAGAGTTGGTATCGGCAGTGAGAAATATCAAAGAAGCGCGGTTCCTGAAGCCCATCCGATCAGATCCTAGCCAGAGGGATCCCAGTTTATGGTGTGAATACCATGTGACACACGACCATCGAACTGGGGACTACCGACATCTTCACGAAGAGGTGGAAACGTTGTTGAAGAGTGGCCATCTTAGAGAGTTTTTAAGTGACCGAGCCAAGAACAAACGAAGTGACCGAGCTATGTTAATCTCAGTCTCAGATTCCAGAATCCTTGGAAGCAGCACGTTAGTCACCATGTGTGACTCTATTCTGTGGCTGTTTAATGGTGGTGGGAAGGCAATAAAAATAGACTATAAGGGAAAGGAGGCAGGGGGTCACAACGAAGAAGAAAGGAGACGAAGCGGGTGTTCCTGACATGGTATTCCCTCTTGCTGAGCATTCGATTGATGCTTTTGAGATACTTGCAGATTCGTTCATTAAGGCCTATGCTGGAGCAAGAAAGGTTCAGGCCAGAAAGGTGGACATATTAAGAAATTCGCAGGGTGAATCCGAGCTACTGCGAGAGTTTGTGATCCGATTCCGAAAAGAAAGGATGTTGCTACTGGCGGTTCTAGATGAGTGGGCAGCAAAGGCATTCACGAATGGTCTAAACCCACTAAGTTTCGATGCCTCCAAAAAACTAAAGGAAAGCTTGCTCGAGTTTCAAGAAACCACATAGGCGGATGTCCATAACCGCTATGAGTATAAAATAAGGATAGAAGACCATCAGCTTGGATCATCAGTATCGACTAAGGGACGGGGTCGAGATAAAACTCAGGAAATGGTTTAAGAATGACTTTAATGCAGATCGACAGTTCTCTAGAGGTCGCTTTCTACCATACGAGAGGACCGATAGGCGTAGAAACAAAGGGTTTCAGTCATCGGATAGGTTTGCTCCCGATAGAAGAGTCGATCGTGGTCGGAGCAACATGTCGTTGCAGGAGAAAGAGGTACCAGGGGCACCAGATTCTATATATCCTAAGTTATTAGATTATAACTTTAACATCAACCAGGTAGAGTTGGTATCGGCAATGAGATTTATCAAAGAAGCGCGGTTCCTGAAGCCCATCCGATCAGATCCTAGCCAGAGGGATCCCAGTTTATGGTGTGAATACCATGGGACACACGACCATAGAACTGGGGACTACCGACATCTTCACAAAGAGGTGGCAACATTGTTGAAGAGTGGCCATCTTAGAGAGTTTTTAAGTAACCGAGCTAAGAACAAATATGCCCGAAGTCGGGACAATGCGGAGCCTTCGAAAATAGCAGAAGGGTTACCCCAGTTTACTATCAACATAATTTTTGGAGGAAACGAAGTCAATGGTGTAACCTTTTCAGCAGCGAAGAAAATGAAGATATCAGTGACTCAAAACAAGAGACTCCGGGAAATAGCAGAAGACGATATCATATTCACGGAGGAGGAAGCTGACATACTTCTTATGACACACAATGACGCTTTGGTAATCTCTCTCAATGTTTTAGATTTAACATTTAAGCGTGTTTTGGTTGATCTAGGAAGTTCAGCCAACATCATCCAATGGAGAGTTTTGGAGAGAGCGAAGTTGATAGGTATTCCGACGACAAAACTCCTTGCTAGCTTTAACTTGACAAGCGTGACAACCCGAGGAGAGATTTTGCTGCCCACACACGCCGAAGGAGTAACAAAAATAACTCTATTCGAAGTGGTATATGGCGATATGGGTTACAATGTAATCCTCGAAAGGTCGTGGATACACGCGATGAAGGTTGTACCCTCAACATATCACCAGTTGTTTAAATTTTCAACGCTGGAAGGAATCAAGTAGATAAGAGGATACCAACCAGCGGCAAGGGATATGAATACAGTAACTGCTTCCAGCAACAAGGGTAAAGAGTCCAACAAATAGAAATTATAAGAACCGATGCCTTCTCCCTTTCCGAATGAAGACGATAAAAGTAAGGAGTCATCGGAATCCTATCAGGTTCCGCGATATTTTCAGGTACCAGAGGAGACGGACGCGACCAAGGTGAACGCAAAAGAACTTGAGCAAGTGGCCTTATTCGAAGAATTTTTGGAAAGGAAGTTTCATCTGGGACCAGTCCCAAGCTCAGGTTAGAAATTATAAATTTTCTTAAAGCTAACGTTGACTACTTTGCGTGATCTCACTCGGATATGATAGGTATCCCATTAGAGGTAGCAATTCAAATCTAAGTCTGGATCCGAAGTTCCCACCGGTATGGAAAAAGAAACGCCCGATAGCAGAGGTTCGAAACAGGTTTGTTAAAGAAGAGGTAACCCGATTACTCAATATTGGTTCGATCTGAGAAGTAAAGTATCTAGAATGGTTAACCAACATAGTTGTAGTGCCCCAAAAGAATAACAAATTTAGGATATGCGTAGACTATAAGGATTTAAATAAGGCGTGCCCAAAAGATTCGTTCCCGTTACCAAACATTGATCAAATGATTGATGCTATGGTCGGATACGAGCTAATGAGTTTCCTTGATGCTTACTCTGGGTACAATCAGATCAAGATGAACCCGAAGGATCAGGAAAAGACCTCTTTCATAACAAACTTTGACACATAGTGCTATAATATGATGCATTTTGGGCTTAAGAATGCCGGAGCCACTTATCAGAGGCTCGTTAATAAAATGTTTGAGAATCAGATAGGGAAAATAATGGAAGTATACATTGATGACATGTTAGTCAAGTCTTTGAATGCAGGGGATCATTTGAAACATCTTCAAGAAACTTTCAACATTCCGAGGAAGCATAACATGAAACTCAACCTAGAGAAATACGCATTCGGGGTTAGTTCCGTTAAGTTATTGGGGTTCCTGGTCTCGCAAAGAGGGATCAAGGTAAATCCCGATAAAATCAAACTTATTGAGGACATTCCAGTCCAATTAACGAGTGTGAAGGAAGTACAGAGACTAACCAAAAGGTTGGCGGCTCTAAGCAGGTTCATCTCAAGATCCTTAGAAAAGTTCCATCATTTCTTTTCACTTCTGAAAAAGAAGAACGATTTCGTATGGACTCCGGAATGCCAACATGCAATAAAAGACCTAAAAAGGTACCTGTCCGGCCTGCTTGTTATTGTCAAAACCGGGGGAAGGAAAATAATTGTTAATATATCTATCAGTCTCGAAAGTAGCGGTAAGACCCATTTTGGTTCGAGAGGAAGAAGGATTTGAGCTGGCTCGGGAGGCTCCGAGGTCATCAAAATAAAATGTGACTCCCATCTGGTAGTAAACCAAGTGTATGGGTTTTCTGACACAAAGGAAGAACGCATGCAATATTATTTGAACAAGGTTCAGGCGTTCCTAGCGCGATTCAGAGAATGGTCAACATCCACATTCTGAGGGAAGAAAATGTGAAAGCAGATGCATTGGCTAATTTGGGGCCATCAATAGAGATGAAAGGATCTGATTCTGGTACGGGCGTCCAACTTCTTCATTTGGTGTTGGATGTGGATAGCTACTGCGAGGTAAATTTGACCAACTTGGTTTGGGATTGGAGGAACGAGTTCATCGAGTATCTCTGGCATGGTAAATTACTCGAGGACCAAAGGCATCCCGGGCACTACAGACCAAAACAGCTCGCTACTACCTTGTAGATGGGCAATTATACATGAGGTCGTTCCAAGGACCATTGGCCTGGTGCCTAGGGGCCTCGGAGGCAGACTACATGATGAGGGAAGTCCACGAAGGAATTTGCGAGAATCATTCTGGTACAGACTCATTAGTTCTAAAGTTGATCAGGGTAGGTTACTACCGGCCCCAGATGGAACAGGACGCAAAGTCATTCATTCAAAAATGTGACAAATGTCAACGTCCTAACAGTTGTTGCACCAACCAGTAGAACTTTTACATTCGGTGTTGTCCTCGTGAAATTGAGGATGGACATAGTTGGACCTTTACCACGGGCCCTCGAAAGGTAAGATTTCTCTTGGTTTTAACTGATTATTTCACTGAATGGTGAAACAGGTCCATACCAAAAGATCAGAGAATGCGACGTGGTTGACTTCATATGGGACCATATAATTTTCTGATTTGGAATACCAAAGGAAATCACGTGTGACAATGGGCCACAATTCATAGATTCAAAAGTCACAAAGTTTTTGGAAGGGTTAAAAAGCAAGATAATTATGTCTTCACCATATCACCCAAGTGCTAACGGACAGGCAGAATCGACCAACAAGGTAATTATTCAGAACCTTAAGAAGAAGTTAGAAGATGAACTCGAGCAAGTGGCGCGATGATCTGCTGGGAGTGCTATGGGCATATCGGACAACGCGAAGTCACGCAAGGGAGAAACACCTTTCTCTCTCGTGTACGGTTTAGAGGCTCTGATACCAGTGGAAGTAGGGGAGCCAACTTTGAGGTTTGTTCCGAGCAAACGAAGAAACAAACAAGGAAGCATTACTTGTGAAGCTAGACTTGCTCGATGAACACCGTGAATTGGCATACGTGAAGATGGTGGACCAAAAATAAAGGATGGAAAGGTATAACAATCGCAAGGAGAATCTCCGTTATTTCGAAGTAGGAGATCTGGTTCTAAGGAAGATCACCCAGAGCACTCGAGAAGTCAACATCGGGAAGCTGGGGTCAATATGGGAAGGTCCTTACCAGATTTCTGCTATCACCGGTAAAGGGTCGTATGAGTTAGAAAATCAAGATGGAGCCAAACTACCAAGCAACTGCAACGTGACTCACATCAAAAGGTACTATTGCTGAGGATCCTTGCTGGTACTGAAAGTATGTGCTGCACTCTTTTTTCCTTTGACTAGTTTTTGTCCCAATCGAGTTTTTCTGGCAAGGTTCTTAACGAGGAAACAACGTAAAGCATACTTTTAAGAAAGGATTGTCGGCTAAGACATGACCTTTAAATATCAAGGCACTAAAATTCTCACACTGATGGGACAGACGAGTACGAGCTCGCGTGGTAAACAACTTGTGGATGGTTAAATAATCTTTGGCCCGATGGAAAGCCTCGCCTTCCATAATTCAAAAAGATTATTTACCCGTTCACAAGTTATCTCCACCAATAAAGCAGCAGTATAAATACAAGACTTCCACTGTTCGAACTCTCATACTTAGCATTCGAACACTGGGGGAGAGAATGTATGATACGTCACCAAGAATGCCACGAAAATCGAGGACTGTTAGAACTGGGATCAATAATATCTCATCAGGGCCGGGGACTGCATGATCAGCTTCATAGAAATAAATTGTACAAAGTTAGCCACATGTATTGGCAGCTTTATTTACTTGAGCAAATGAATGCCTATGTACTTCTAAGATAGAGGGAATAAAATAAAGCTCTTTTATTTTTATCTTATTTCTTGTCCAAATGATGAGTTAATTTTATCGTTTAAAAGTTAACAAAAACTTCAAATGCTTATGCAGGAATGAAAAGGAGACGTCCTCTTCAAGAGCACCGTAAACATAAGGGCCCTCTCTTATGAAACTCTCATAGTAAAGGGTAGATTCCTAAACCCGGAATCAAAATCTATCGGATGAAACAATATACCCGAAGCTTTATCAACTTAACATAAAAAAAAGGATATTTTGGCACAACACTTAAGCAAAACAATCTTTTATTTATCAAGTTCCAAACTTAGTAAAACGTTTCGGCATAATTACAAAAGAGAAAAAAAAAAGATGAATATATACACTATTCCTTGCTACCAGAACCCGAAGGAGGAGAAGGGTCTACATTTCCCCCGGTAGAAGCAGAAAGATCCGCTATCGGTTTGGGGACTTCATCTTCTTCAGTCTGCTCTTCGATTCCCGAATACTCGAAACTATTATTCGAGGAGTTAGTTGCAGCGGACCGAGTAGGAAGATTCTCATAAGTAGTTAACTCCAGTTCTCAGGCTTTGGCAAAGCTATCATCAATATCAGCAATGCCCACTTTGGCCCCCTACAAAGTCTTCCTCCTCATATGATAAATAGAATAAGTCTTCTCGAAGACGAGGGAATCTTCTTGATCCTAGAATGTGGCTCGGAGTTTATCGATCTCGGTTTGAAGCTCTTCTCTTTTAGCCTTCATGGCACTGAGGCGGGAATCAAGCTCAACATTGGTAGTTGAGTTAAGCCGGTTCTGCTCCATGACCCTCTTTAGCCTCTCTTCCATTTTTGCTCTTTTCTCCTCGACAACATTGGCCTCCTCGATTTTGGAGCATAAGTTTGCCTTCAAATTATTGATTTGCTCCTCGAAGGCATACTCACGCTCGATAGTGGCGATGGCTACATCATGAAGTTCGGCCCACTCAGCCTTAGCTTCTTGAAGCTTTTCATGTAATTGGGAAGCTTCTTGGCTGTAGGCCATTCTATCTTGCTCTCTCTGCTGTAATCGAGCCTCGAGCTCGTCCATATCTGCAACTTTTGCCTCCAGCACCGGTAGGCGCGCAACAAGCTGGTCCCTTTCAGCTAAAATTTGATCCCGCTCAGAAGAAAGCCCTTGTTTATCAAGGATCAACCTTTGCAGGCCCTCAGAAGCAAGGAGGTAGTCCTAAAAAAAGGTTAGAGTTAAGGTTACTATTATAACGCATAAACGGAAAAGGAGTTAGAAGAAAATTAGGGTAGTACCTGCGCCGCACTGTGCATGCCATTGTTTATCAGACACTCCCTAGAAAGGGAGCCCATTTTCTTCCAATCCATCACCGAAGCCAGCGGCTTCATATAATTGGCAAGCTTCATTAGCCTGGAGAGGACATGACACTCCTTCGAAATTGAAAGAGTTGCGCTTCGCCTTCCTTGGGGATCTTGAGAAGGCATAACATACGTGCTACCCAAGTTCCCATGATCAGGAGACCGA